GGGGAAATGGAGAGATCACAGATGGAGGTTACATCCCATGATTTTCCATATCTCAATAAATGAAAATTAAGTTGCTTTGTTCTTTGAAGGACCTCTACCATTATACCTCCTCTTCACTTACTTTGTTTCTGCTACTGGCTTGCCCCCTTGTTAAGATTGTACAACAGGGAAGAAGTCAGCAAAAGCAGAAGAGAAGACTCCACCAGCACCAGCTACTTCTACTGAAGCCTCAGTCTGGGTGAACCAAGGTAAGAAGGTTGGTGAAAAGGAAAACCTCAGTTTAGTCATGTGCATGGCTTTTCAAGAAATAAAATAGCAGGTCTCAGTCAGAATAAATAGAGAAGTAATTTTATTGAAGTAATAGTTATTTGTAGACATACACCATTTCCCAACGTTTTGGTTTGGGTAATATAATTAATGTTTGTACATATTTTGAAGTCAGTATCCATAAATCTATGAAGAATGAATTTCACATCACTTTTGCACCTGCCAGTATTATTGCCTTATTGGTTAAATAGTTGATATGAATTAAAATAGGAAAATAGAAGTTTATCCCCTTATGCCAGAATACATGTGATGTATCAAGGGGGAGGTAGGTGATAGTTAAGCTGAGTTTGGGAGGATGGGTTTCTGTATGAATATGATATGCTTTTATGTTTACTTGTCCAATACAATCAAGTGACCTTTGATTATGTTCCGCTCATTCTCTCTCACTCCTGTTTGTCTTTTGGGAGTTCATGATTCCCTATGTTCTTCGTTGTGGCCTCTGTGCATCACACACATGGGTGCTGCGCCTGCTCAGTGCCTAAGGCCAGAAAGATTAGAAAGCTAACGGTTTTTGGTGGGAAAACTCTGCTCTCCTTCCCCTCAGTACTAGATATAGAGCGGAGTGTCCGCTATTTTCCCCAGTCTTTTGCGACCGCCGTTTGCTGTGCCTCGTGCCTGTTCAACTCTCACTTTGACTCTCGTACTCTTGTTCTCATTGTTCTTATACTTCTTGTTATACTGTTGATTGTTATTACTCCAAGTTTTTCTCCCGTGTTATATTACCTTTTTCTTGTTCTTCGCTAAAAAAACAAAAAAAACAAAACATGTTGCCAAGCACTCTTCAATTGACTGTTAGGATTTTTCTGCATAATTAGAGAATCTCCAGACACACACACACATGTGTGTGTGTATCTCCAGAAATTACCACCCTGAGGACATTAGCACTAATAAACAATTATTTAACTGACTAATACTGCTCATTATTGGAAAGATCCTTGTAACAGATTTAAACATAAAATACAGTTTAAAATGGGGAAACAATAAAGTAAAAAAATGTAATAGTTAAAATCACCACAATGGTCATTATCCACTTCTCTCCTAATTGTGGAGTCATCTGAAGGAGAGTATTACAAGATTAAGTGTTCCATTATGTACCTAGGTTCCAAGCCATATAGGTCCTTATAAGATAGCACTACCTCCATGAGGTACATCAAGCCTGATGAGATATATTCTTAATTGGATGCACTAGATAAATTTTTTTGCAGATACTTTCTATACAAGCTTCAATTTCCAGACTGACTTCAAAGACTAGCATATATACAGTGTACATCAATTGGAGTAGTCAAACTGGGAGTTTACCAGAGCTTGAATTACTGTGGTTATAAGTCCTGCCCAGCAGAGGCTATCACTGGTGAGACAAAGTGTTCTATGCCATGAGGTCATCTAATATTCTAGTGACAAAGCTGGATTAAGGAGTAGACTGTGAACATGGTCCTTCAAGGGAAGTGTAACGTTATCCAAAATAGGTTGCAAACCTATCCTTGAACTAGAGACTATCCAAGCACAGTACTACCATCTTATAGAGACTGATCTTTTATCAACTGACTCTGATGCAGTTCATTATGAAGTCAAACACTGTCTTAATCTGCTTCATTGGACTCAGCTGATAAAAAAGGTAGAATTTGATGTTGTCAACATACTGATTGTAGCTCAGCTGAAATTCTTCAATGATTCTTTTCAACAGTTCCACATAAAAATAATGGGGGCAAGATGGAATCGCATGGGACTCTATACTAAGATGTTGTGGGGTTAAGCAGTAGTTTCCTAGCAGTACCTTATGGATATTACTGGCAGGAAGGAGCAGACTAAACGTATCAGAAAGTTCCTAATTCTAAATCTAGAAGGATATGTGATCAGTGGTATTAGAAGAAAAGGTCAAGCAATCCAGAAGAATCTACATAGTCACACAACAAAAAGATCACTGAAGGCTGGGTTTGTGAAAATATGCTTTACTTATTTTCTGTGAACATTCCTTAACCTTATAAATAGCATATCTTAATCCAAAAATGGATGTATAAATTACAAAATTACATTGTAGTTTGCTTTAGCATTTTCAAAGGTAGTTTACATTTCAAAGGTTTAATGAATCAATGAAATACAGTTACAAAAATGTGTTGAAGTATGATATCCAAGCATGCCTTTTAGCATTGTGGTCTTGGTTTCTGAATTTTAGTTGTAGGGTGAAGTTTTTAAAGCCTATAACATACCTTAATTACTGATAATGTCAAGTACTTCTCCTAAGCATTCAAGACAGGAGTAGTGAACCTTTTCACTCCACACATGTAACACAGTGGCAATCCCTCAAGATTTCCTGGAGATCACAGGATTCATCTCTTGCTTCTAGGGAGGAAAAGGAGGCTCTTGCCACTATTTCAATTTATTTTGTTTAGGATTTATAATATACTGTAAGCTGTCCAGAGATGACAGTGATGGACCAGCCTATTAATCTCCTAAATAAATAAAATAAATTTCACAAAGCAGAGTTTGAAAACAACTGCTGGTGATTTAGAAATGTTTGTTTTCTCTAGGAAATGTGGAGAAAGCAGTGACAGAACTGATAATAGATTTTGATGGGAAGCCCGAGGAGTGTCCATATGAAGTCTTGTACAATGCGACATCCTGCCACTCTTTGGACAGCCTGGCCAGTGGAAGATCTTCAGACAGAGACTCAGTGAACAGGGAAGCGGAGATGACCAGTGTTAAAGTGACAGGAGTGAGGCCTGTATGTAGCCTGATGTGTGTTGTCTTTACCTTTTTGTGGAAAGTAGTCTGGGATATATCACCAGGCCTGTGCACTCGCCACACTTGCAGTAAGTTGATAGCCCAGCTGTATGGTTTGGAAATAATATTAATAAATGCAAAAGGCTTTAGTTACCAAGCAATTGGAAGCCACTCCCTGCTTCATGTGCTATGCGTGAAGTTTGCCCAGTGCTCTTAAGCATTATAACTCCATGAATTATATCTGAATTTCCATGCAATTCTACATCTGTTTATTTAGTTGCAGAATGTTTGATGTAATAACTTCACATTGCTACTAGTTAAAAGGAAAAAGCTTATCTAGAGCATGATTTCCTTTTATAGATACATTTTTTCATTTAGGTTTCTTCCATCAAAAAAAGAAATTCCTGTATTATAAGCACCTTGAAAAACAGGCTTGTTTGTGATTTTAACTGGGAAGCAGATAATTTCTTTGTAGAATTTGTAGATACGATCCAGTAGGGGGAGCTTGGAGGCTTTTCAGAATAATTACATATTCTCAGTAAGATTCCCCAAAAGCCATAAATCTTGCTTAGAAGTGACTGCATTTGCTTAGTCTAGTAATTCATGGCCTGTGTGAACTGTGGTACTGATAAAGTTGTCCTTGGTTTCAACATTTCTGGCTGAGTAGCTTCATAGAAAACTTTAACAATGTACATCGGCAACACTGAAACAGAGGAAAAGTAACCAAAACAAACACTTAACTGTTGGAAGTGATGCTGCACTGTGATATCAGCTATTAAAGCAAGGATATGATGATTACCTCTAAGTATACAAAACCATGTAAAATGCCACAATGAGCTAAAACTGAAAGTGGGTTTTATTTTCTCTGGGTGGATAGACTATATTTATTTCAGACAGACTCAACTCATTTCTGGGGTGAAGGTAAGAGAAAAGGGAGATGGAGGCAAAATAAGCTTTAGGTGATGATTACTTATCATAGGAAATACTGTAGCTAGGCTGATTCAAAAGCCTTTTATATAGTCCAGAAAAAAACTGTATCTCTTGCATGTTTAGAGGCTTCTTACCAGTTGACTTACTCCCCCTAGCAGAATAGTTATGCCCCAATTCATTCACTTTGGTCAGAAATATAAAATTTGCAATATATATATTCTCTATAGTAAACCTTTGAGCTAACTTTTAAAAATATTTTGATGTGAAGGAAGATAGTTCTTCCATGACATATGCTTCCTTTGCTTTCCTTCTGATGTTTCTTTCAAGAAACTCTAGAAGTTGGAAATGAATTTGACAGAAGGCATTTACCCTGGTTTTCTGTATTGTAGAGAGAGCGTCCACCTCCTCCTGCCAAGCCTCCTCCTGATGAAGAGGAGGAACATGTAGAGAAGAAGCAAAGTGCATCTTCTAAAGTAGGTATTCTAATGTCTCAGGGTTGTGCTATGGTGTAGGGAATGTAAAATATTTCAATATCTTCTGAAGAGGTAAACCCCATATTTACACTTCTGTATTATGAAAGTTAATCTTTTTATTTTGTGGAAAATTAATCTGTATTTTACCAGCTCTGCTCTTATTATTCAGGGCATCTGTGCCTTTTATTTTACACTTAACGCTCTTTTACTGGATATGTGCAATTCACATGTACCCTTGCAGGTACAGTGCTGTTGAGAGAATTTCTTAGACCTTTGGCAGAACAAGTTCTCCATTTTGAAGAACAAGTTATTCTATACACCGAGATCTGAAACACAATTCATTTATAATGAATTTCTCTGCGGTGGCGCCCCATCTATGGAATGTGCTCCCCAGAGAGGTCCGCCTGGCACCGTCGTTATTTGTTTTTCGGCGCCAGGTTAAGACCTTTTTATTCCTGGAATATTTTAATAAATTTTAATATTGCCTTTTCTATGTTTTTAACTGCAGCCAGTGTGGGTCGGGAATTTATTTATGTTATATTTTATGTCGTAAGCCGTCCTGAGCCTTTTGCTACAGGACGGCATATAAATATTTTAAATAAATAAATAAATGTAAATCATGGTTTTTCACTGCAAGGTTGAGACTTCCATGCCCTCCCTGTTTATGACTTTCATATCTATTAAATTGAATTTTTTTTAGCTAACTACTGTTCTTTGTTGTTTCTGTACATTATACAATATGGGCTTTGCACCTGTGTGGAGTCTGTTGTCTGGGAGATTCTACAGCTAACCATTATTTTGGGCAGGAGCTCCTCCCCTTCCTGTTCCTTACATCCATGGGAGGGGCTCCCACCCATTCCCTCGGTTTCTTCTTTACTGCCTCCATGCCTGGATTGGGAAGTGATTTCTCAGCTTGAGTATTTTTTCAAAATCTATTACTTTTTTCTTTCTACCACTTTTTTTTCTCTCTATCACTTTCTCCTCCTTGGCTCTCTACTCAGCCTCCTTTTTACCCATCAGTCCATGAACTTCATTTTCACTCTTTACTTGTAAAATCTGTATATACAGCAGGACCCCTGTATCCATGTGGATTGGTTCTAAGCCCTCCAGCAGATGCCTGAAACCATGAATAATAGCAGACACTATACAAGACACTGTATAATAGCAAGTTGGCACTCATAGGCAGCAGTGGTGGGCAGCGAGCTGCAAAATCAACTCAAAAAACTATATACTCAAAATAAGTTTTAATAGTGGGGCTATAAGTGAGAGAGGGCCTGAGCTGTTAGAGAAGGAGGAACTTCGGCAATTTAAAGGTAATATCTGAATCATGTCTTTTTAATGTCCCATGCCCAACATGAGGAAGTACCACGGCTAATTGATGATAAATAATTACATAATTGCATGAACAATTTGTGTCCAAACAGGGTTTGGTCTCTAAAAGGAAGAGTAGGGGAAGCATAGCTGATGATGAAGAAGAGCATCCTTATGAGTTGCTGCTGACAGCAGAAACTAAGAAACAAATTGCAGTGGACAAAAAAACAAAAGGTAAGAAAGGTTTTTGCAAACTGATATAATCACCCAAACAATTCTAGCTTTTTAAGGTAGGTAGTTGGGCGGACTAACTTACTTTGTGGTGATTGTCTAAAAAAGTGCTTTCTTTTCATATTTTAATTAAAATGGACTTGCCTTGATATCGTGCTGGTGATGCAGTGAGTCCTAAGTCTTTTGGTAAATATGAGAGCTAGTAGTGCATTTATAAATATCTTGAGATGAAACTATCTAATTCTGCTACCAAGAGTCATGGAAAAGATTACTATGCAAGTACTAATAAAACAGATCCTCAGCTTTGATCCAAGAAGCTTCCATATCATTCTCCTAAGTCAACACTATGTGCTTTCGTATATTAAAGTCAGTTGGAAAACTAAATCAAAGGAGAAACTCAAACACAGTTAATTGGTCCACCTAGTGGAAATCAAGCATCTCCTCATATTCAGTGCTGAACTATTTCATCTGCTGGAACCCAAGGAATGTGTCTTGCATATGAATTGATAGCTGCTGTGCATGGTAAATTATGTTCTGAGCAATGTAAAAATGTGTGACTTTTCTCTCAAGTGAAAGTTGATTTGATGGCTTCTAAGTTATATTTTTCTGTGTGCACTCATAATAGCAAAAAACACAAATACTTGCTTCTCTGCTGTCCTGCACTCCTTCACAGGTACACACATACATGACTACTCAGCACCCATTATTGGTATATTTGAATGTAGAAGGTAGTGATGAGAGGCATTGCAGTTCAAAGGGTAGTGTCAGAACCATACAGCCTGATTTTATTTATATTAAATTGAAAGCAATTCCCACTATATTCCACAGGGCTAGCTTCTTAGGATGATGCATGGAATTGCAGCTGTAGACATAACCCCTGAAGTTTTCTGTAGAATTCATCTAACTGAAGGCTGTCTTCTTGTAAATCCATATTCATTGTTTATTATACTTGGTTACTTTTCTGATATTCTTTTAAATAATTAAACTAAGGAAGAATTACTTGAGGATCATATCATAAATATAAGTTAGCTACTAGAGCACATCAAAGAATGTCAGAAGATCAGTTAATGCTTTATAGATCACAGTAAACCCTTTGATTGTGTGTATCACCAGAAGCTAGGGATGGGCCTAAAAGAAATTGGGTTTTACCTCAGCACTTTTTCTGATGTGTAACCTGCATTGTTGACGAGAAGCCAATGTTAGGACAGAATATGGAGAAACAAAATGGTTTCCCATTGTCAAAGACATGAGGCAAAGCTGTATTTTAAGCTGCCAACTGTATATGCAGAGCATATAATAGAAAAAGCTGGATTAGAATCAGAGGAAGGAGTGAAAATTGGTGGAAGACATAATAATTTAAGATACCAGAAACAGCAGTGAATTGAAATAACTGCTGATGAAAATAAAAGAAAATACAAAAGCAGGACTGTAGCTGAATATTAAAAAGCAAAAATAATGACTGCTGAAGAATTATACAGCTTTACTTTCAACAATGAAGGAATTGAAATTGTGAAAGATGTTATATGCTTTGGCCCAATCAACAATTCAGATGGAGACTGCAGCCAAGAAATTCGAAGGAATACTGGGACTTGAAGGGCAGCACTGCAAGATCTAGAACAGATCATCAAGTGTAAGGATGTTTCAGTGGAGATCACAGTCTAGAATATCCACACTGTTGTATTCCCAATCATGTATGGGATTTAAAGGCAGACTGTGAAGAAAGGTGACAGGAACAAATATTTTCAAAATAAGATGCTGGAGGAGAGCTTTGCAAATACCCTGGACTGACAGAAAGAGAAACAAGCTAAACACCCTAAGCTCAATCCTCTTTCACAATATCTAAACTACCAGAAGCATAGATTGTGGGACCTTCTGCACTACTACTCAGTCTTCACCTGAAAAATCCCACATGATCCAGCACCAACCATTTAAACATTGCCAGCAGTTCAGCCTACCCAAGTATTTCTACTTCCCAGAAATGAAATATCAACCAATGACCTCTGCTTGGTACGAGAGTGTAATGACTCTCTTGTTCATCTTCTATCTAACTTTCAGCATCCTCTCTGGATACCACAATAGGTGATTAAAATCGTTTATCACCTTCAGATGATATCAGACCATAAGTGGAGAAAGTTTTAAGAATGGGCAAGCCTCTTGATTTAAAATTTAAGTTCCACTGCTCTCTGTCACAGACCTGTTAAGACATCATAGTCTGACTTGGTACCACCAGTCACCAGGCTGATGCTGCCTACATTAATCTACATGATTAAGCAATCATGAACAATCTCACTCTACTACCATTGTACAAAATAGAGAAACCTTTATGAAGTCCAAGAAGATGACTGCCTTTTTCTTCAAACAATCCACTCTATAACCATTGCAATCAGAATCAAAATATAAGATTCATTCCTCTCTCTGTTTATACAGAGGGATGAAAACTAGATGAAACTGGTAAGAAAAAATTACTGCATGGTGGCACAATCCCTTTGACTGGCCATTTATTAGGTTTGCATGTAAGCCTACTAGCAGTTCCTATGAAAGAGAGTAGCATCATTCTTTGCTTCCTTGCCAAAAGATGCTAAGAACCTTACAGTGATATTTCAAACCATAATGCCACAGCTAGCAAGTCAGCAAATCAACACAGTATACCATATTATAATCTGTGATTTAAAATCCATGGTAGTTACCATTTTTATTAGGAGAAACATGCCTGGTTTCACACCTCAGGCTAATGATGTGAAGAGCAATCCAACTCCCTTGCACTTGCCCCTCCCTTGCATTTCTTTCCCATGCTCAGCCCTGGTCTAGGAAGCAAGATGAGCCAAAATCAAGTCCACAAAAGCTCAGGAGTGCTAGCAGGCCCCTTCCCTGCACTGAATTATTCCCCCACAAAGTATGCAATCTCACAAACCAAGGACAGCATATGTAGTCTGTCGCCAGTGCTAGATATGCACATGAAGACCCTCCTGCCATCCACTTATGTGCGCAGTACCTGCCAACCCAGCATATGTGCAGCTTCTCCATATGCCAAACATTTGTGCAAAGGCATTTTCTCCTGTTGCCCATGTAGCATTTGTATGGATTTGGGCATGGACCTGCTGCTATGATAATGTGTTCAGTTCTTATTACTGCAGAGATGTTTTCATTTTGGTCACTAGGTGGTGGTCCAGACATCATGGGAATCTGACACACATGTGAGGTGCAGCTAGACCAGCATTCAGGGATGGGCATGGGATATGCTCACAATTAAAGCAGCTGATGCAGCACATGCTGTACATATGCAAAGCCTGCAAGTCACATGTACAAGAGTCTGCACAGCAGGTACCTGGGCAACATCTGTGCAAACCGTTCTGGCAAGTTATGCCTGCATATCCATAATGTAGTATACAACAGTTAGACTCTCTTTCTGCCAGACACCTGAGCAAACCATCGGCATGAGTTAGACTTAGGGCAAAGAGAAAGTGGACCAAAGTCTAGAGACCTAAACTGAGAAAATCCAACAGATTTCAATCCCTAGACCAGATTCTTCACCCATCTCTACCTCAGGCATTCACCAGGAAACACATTTGAGAGTAGAAGATGCCCTCTTCAACTGAGGACTCTGCAGTGTGTCTTTGGAGAACATACTAAACCTTGTGCAGAAAATGGAAGTGTCTACCTGTAAAATAGAAATAGGGATATCAGGCTGGGCCCAGGAGACCAAAAACTCCTTGAAAGAGAGAGTTCCAACCTCTAGATGGTATTCAGGCCTCTTCTTCTGCTTCTTCAAAAAAGTCTAACATGTACTCAGATGATGATAGCAATTACCAGTAGTTGATATTCTTTTCCTGGGCAAGGTGCTTGAGCAAGTGATTGCCAGTCAAGTCCAAGCTCTCTTGAATGAAATAGATTATCTAGATCCATTTCATTCAGGTTTTCATTCAAGTTTCAAGTCTGGTTTTGGAGCAGAAGCTGCCTTGGTTGTCCTGCTGGGTGACCTTTGTTGAGAGAAGAACATGGACTGCAAATCTCTTAATTGAATCTCTCAGGGGCTTTCATTCGCATCACTTGTGGTATCCTGCTGGATGGGTTGTTTGGGATGGGAGTTGGAGGCATTACATTACAGTAGTTCTGCTCCTACTTGGATAACCAACTCCAGAAGTTGGTACTGGGGGATTATGTATTATGTATTTATTATGTTTAGTATAGCTGCCAAGGCACAAAGCAATAAATGGACTTAACTTTCAGAGTTGCGCATCATACTCTTAACTCTAAGTATCTAGGAGCAGATATTTGAATTGCAAATATTTGGTATTTTTGTTTTTAAATTCATAGGTGAATCACCTTCAGGTGCTGCCAGCAGTGTCCAGCTCCAGGTAGGTCACATTTGATCTTACTGTTTTTTAAGTTAAATAGAAAGCTTTAAGAGTGGAATTCTAGTGAAAGGACTCTAAAATAGTTTGCATCTTCAGTATTAAGGGGGATCATTTTAAAATGACATAACAGTGACAGTTAGAGGACCTGAAGTTATTCAGAATGAGTTTAAATAGTAGAAGAAAATGTCTGTGTTATCACGGTTCAGATAACTATTCCCATTTTACAAGAGATAGCTAGCAAAATGGAAATTATTTAATTATCAAATGAGAGCAAATGATAAAAGTGAGAAACTGCTCTTGTTAAGCATGTATATGAATGAGAAAGGGTAATGAACATAGATTATTAATGACATATTAATTCTTAATATCTTGGCAAAGTTCAAATAGTATTGTCTAAAATGAAATAGACTAAATCCTCCTAATACAGTGATCTTCATAACAAATTAAGATGCTTGCTGAAATTTCCTCAGAAGTATGAGGGACAATCTACATTCTGCAGGTTCAAAATGACAAAAGTATCTGGTATATGGAGTTAGATTCTGACAATGCTTCTGCATTTTAAAGATTTTATATTGTATACTACTTCACATCTATACAGGTACTGTATTTCAGGAGCAAACACTAAAAGACATAAAGATGAAAATAATGAAGTAATACTATTAATGAGTATTAAAACAGAGTAAAACAGAACAGTCTTCATACTTGTAAAGAAAAGTTTGAAAAATATGCAGGCACTATATGAAGCAAAACAAGGGAAGAGTGCTATACAGGGGCTAGGGCTTGCTTAGGTTTCCCCTATTTCTTCATAGCGTGATTGGAGATTACTAATTTTAGATCTCCAGATGCTGATAGATCCAACCTCCCATAATTCCTAGCCAGCATGACCAGTGATTTATAAATATGAGATTTACACAATTATGTTAGACCGACAATCTCTGGGAACCCAAGTTTGGCAAGTGCTGGTATAACACAAACTTTTGTTGTTGCAATGCTTCCATTCTCCTTTGCCGAATCTTCCACTTAAACAAAATCAGCTTGAAAATCTTAGCTGCAAGATACATAATGTAAACAAGACATGTGCAAATATGTTTATTTTGCAGCATGTCTATGCTTGGTGTAGAAACTCAGCTTTAGGACATGTTGCTCTGATAGTTAAATAATATAGGATCCCTTTGCAGGCTTGGCCACGAAAAGGTCCATCTTCTCAGGAGGGCCAATGGCCTCTGAATTGCCAAGCTTCTTCTGATTTTTCTTCTAGTCATTCTGAGCAATATCCAAGTCCTGAATCACACTTGGTAGAGATGTCAAAAGGTAAGTATTCATTCCAACTTTGCAAAAGTGCTCATAGAAAAAATAGTGTTTGCTTTTTCCTCTATATATAAAGCATCATTTGGAGTGTTAAACATGGAATATGACTAAATGCTCACAAATGTCTCTCATAAGACTTTGCTCATTTGCCAGATTACATTTTTGTGTTTGCTATTTTGTTTTCAGGAGATGGAAAGCACAGCCTCTGTTTCATTCCAACAGTGATCCCATTGTTGGGATTCATTGCTGGCTTTTAGACAGTCAAATGTTCCAGTATACAGCACACACTGTCAGCTGCTTGTCCGCTCTCTGATAGCCGTGCTGCTAAATGTTAACATTATGTACAGAAGGCACATTAAAAAGAGACTTATAGCTCTTGTGCAAGGGCAAAGGTGGGGATGCATTATTCCACCAAGTCTGTGCACGCAGGTGGGATACCTTGTATATGTTGTGAAAAAGTTGCTACTTACAGATTGCTTGAAACATTTTGTAAGGAATGGGAATCTTGCAGAGTTGTATCAGAAAAACCAGTAGTTCTGGCAAGATCAAAAATTAGTTCTGTGTGTAACTTCATTGTGTAAACAACTTTAAGAAAATATAGTCTTGTCTTACTGACAAGCAAAACTTATTGGAGGTATGAAATGACCGGGCTGTGTCAGATAGGTGTATAAAAGTAGGCATGGCAGTAAGAAGAGCTGTTTATATTATATATGAGCATGTAGATTCTTGTCCACATAATACAGAACTGTAAAAGACTGTTAAAATTCTGGTCTTCAAACTTGAAATTTTTTATTGCAAGAGAACTGCTACCAGTGAGCACAATTTTGCCAGTTAAGCTGCTGTCCTGTTCTTGTAGAGTGGGTCTCATGGGTATGTGCCAGTTGAATATAAAAAGCAAATGGGCTCAAACTTGTTACATTGATTTAACTTGTAGCTTAAGATCTAAGGGTTAACTTGTGGCTGGTTGTTGCCAAAACCTTGTTAGGGATGCTATATGTAAAATAAAAGCAGGAGTGCCATTTTTTACTCAGTACATTCCTGAGTATATACTTTTAAAAACGGGTTTATTCTAGTGACTGCCACTGAGATCAATAAGTCAGATTTATGCACTTTCTGTTTGATTTTTTTGGGGGTGGGGGCTAATTAAGCACAAATAAATGGAAAGAAATGGAAATATTGTGGGATAATTTAGTTGGCAAGACCCTGCCACAACCAAGTTTTCTTTGTTAATATGTTTCCTCTCTCCACCCCTCCCCATAAGGTTCTAAAACACATGCCTTGATGTCAAATACAACCACAGAAATAACCTTACCTTTCTGCTCTTCAAAGACCATCCCATACTTAGCTATTGAGGAAAATGTTGAGTAATATCTTGCTCTGAGGTGGGAGGCCTTGGCCAGGGTTGTATAATTTTTGGCATTAACATAGAATAAACATTGGGAAATGTATTAATGATTTTTTTCCAAAATGGCTCTTTACTATAAGCTTTTGAATAATTCAGATCAGTCCATTATTCATGCTTTAACATCTTGGTATTTGATGCAACATATTAAAACAGAAGCCTAGTAATAGTGTCACATTTCAGCAGCAGTTCATGTTGCAGCAGATGACTGCAACAGTAGAGCAGGCCACTCTATATAGAGGAATTTGTTAATTGGAAGCAAGCTTTTGATGAAGTTAAAGTTGCTGCTTTGCCCTTATTTCTCTTGCATAAGGAGGTGAGTTCAAGCCACAAGGGAAGGAAGCAAGCTGTAGGGAGGAGGGGGGAATGTTTTCAAACTTGCACGTTGTTTGTAGCTCTTTTCCCCCCCTCCACCCAGTGCTCTGTGCCAAGGGTAGGGAGTGCTGCTCTAAATAACACTTTGGCCTTTATGGAAATATCTCGTGTTCCAGGAGTCTGACTGCCCCTCTCTCTGCAGAGTATAGTTAGCACTTCTCCAAACCTTATATAGCAAGGGCTGATTGTTAGTGTTAACAGGAATAAAATGAACCAGGGCGAGCTGCCAGATTGCATAAATCAGGCCAGTGTTTGGAATTTCATAAATGCTCTGACTTTGGGTACAATCTGAGTGCTCTGAACAATACTGAACTGTTCTTTCTTATTTCTCCCTCTCGGGGGGGCGGGGGGGAGTTCTGCTTCTCTTGATTTTTTGTGTGTTTGGGTTTTTGTTTTGTGTTTTTTATTTTGTTTTTTTCCTTCTGAAGACCAAAGGAGGAACAGCAGTAGCCACAGCCAAGCAGATGCCCAGGATGTCCAAGGGCTGGATCAATTCTCAGGTCTGTTGCATGGTTCTTCTCCGGTATGTGAAATAAATGAGGACCCTTTCAGACTTATTTCAGCTGTGGGCAAAGGAAGTACAGATGGGACTGCTATGCAGCTGGAAGATGTTGAGACATCTGGATCAGTACCGACTAGCATTGCAGACCAAAATAAAGTGGCCTATTCAGCGATCCATCATACCAGTGACAACAACTTGGACCCTGAAACTTTAGTACATCCTCACTTGTCGCAGCACCCTGGCAGTGCCGAGGAAGGAGACAAGAGCTGTGTTGTGGGCAGAATTCATCCAGGAGGCAAGCCCAGAGCAGAACTGAAACTTAGCCGTAGCTTGTCAAAATCAGACTCTGACCTTTTGACCACCTCACCAACAGAGGACGATACTATGGGGAGCAGAAGCGAATCACTTTCCAATTGTAGTGCTGGGAAAAAAAGGCTGGAAAAATCACCTTCCTTTGCTTCAGAGTGGGATGAGGTGAGGCTGACCTTGTCTTTATAATTTTTTTTTAGTAAAATAAAATTGCTGCATGAGTCGATTAGATTTGATTTTCACTTTTCATTTCAGGAGTGAAAAGACTAGAAATAATGCTATTTGTCATATATCCATTTGCTTTGGTAGCTAATTAAAACTGATTTCTTTAAGTTGAATTTGGTGCTTTGAACATAGTTGATGCAGAAGTGAGGGAACGGCTTAAAAGAAAGTGTTCTTGTTAAAAGTTCAGGTTCAGGGTGCTAATTCTTCTAAGGTTTGTGACTTTGGGGCTTTTTTTTTTTTGGCTGCAGGGAGCAAAAAAATGCTAGAGAATCCACAGCTTCTTCTCTAGAATAGCTTACAGAACTGACTGGGTCACTTATCTAGGTCATCATTCTTTGACCTAGATAAGACATAAGTAAATGTAAGGAATACCTGAATATTTTTGCACAGGTGACATCTTCAAGCTCTTTTCAGGTAGTGTCTTCCATGGATTACCGGGGTTTTGATTTACTATGTGGAAGATGGATACTGGTTAAATATTTTCTCATATAAATTTGCTTTAGTGAACAATCAGTCGATATGAAGTGTCCCTTTTAAAACTGCATCACAGCATTGCTGAAGCACTATTTCTAAGTCTACTCTGACCCAAAGCAGAGTTAAAAGTACGAATCAGCTTTTTGGTGCTGCATACCCAGTCTAAAAGGAATGTCAAGGAGAATCCATTATCTAATACATTATATGCATTGTAGATTAAAATGAGTATGAGTGTATCAGTCTTTTAGAGTTGTGGTATATGTTTTCTGATCCAAAGAAATATGTATTAAACTTTCTATTAAATTATTAGTCCAATATATTAAATACATTCAGGAATAACGTTTCATAAAAATACCAGTGGGCCTGTCCTGTGCCCCCATAGTCAGATGTAGTTTCAAAAAAAAAAAAAAAAGTTCACTGAAGAATGACTGTTCCCCGAAATCTATCACTATACTCCATGTCTTGTGTTAATTTTTAGAATGGAACAGATACAATATGTGATTGAGGTCTAGAAGATAGTGCTCAGACATTTTGTCAGACCTTCAGTTTGACAGGTGTTTTCACCATACAATCCCCCAGGCCATAACCTTTTGAAATATTCACAGTCCAATTTTCTAGTTTTTACTTATTGATCAATTTCCTTCATGTCTGTCATCTGAAGTAAGTGTCTCCAGTAATAACAATGAATAAGAAAAAGATTCAAAAGAAAGCAGACATCATAAATAAAACCAGTCCTTTGCAGAATAATCTAGGAGGCACATAGCTATAACTTACCATACATTTTTTTACCTAAAAATCCAAGTGGTTAGTACTGCATCCTCACATGAGAAAGGTAGGCTTCTGTCTTGCTCTTGTTAACAAAACAGTCATTGTAGCAGAATTGACTGTCCAGAAGTTATTTGTTTCAAGTTCCTTAATATGAAGCAGATTCCCATAATATAATTGAAACAATGGGTAAGCTTCAGTAATCTACCTTGTGAATAAACTTCATAGGTTGGGTTGTTCATAGAACAAGTATGCCCAACAGATGATTGGCTCACCATGGGTTGTTCTCCCCCACTTGCCCATCAGTCCTGTAGTCGGTATCCTTGTCTCCATCACGACAGAACCCAATTATAGCACCTTTTCATTTACTAGCTTTTCCTTCCTTCCTTCCTTCCTTCCTTCCTTCCTTCCTTCCTTCCTTCCTTTATTTATTTTTCGGTTTATATTCTGCCTTTTTCCTACAAAGGGCTCAAGGCAGCTTACATCATTTTCCTCCTCCATCTTATCCCCACAACAACAACACTGTGAGGTAGGTTGGGCTGAGAGTCTGTGACTGGCTCAAAGTCACCCAGTTGGCTCCATGGCTGAGCGGGGACTAGAACCCAGATCGCCTGAGTCCCAGTTCCATGCTCTTAACCACTACACCACACTGGCTCTCTCTGGCTTATTCCAGAGATCCAACAAGTGCAACTGAGGTCACTTTATTCCCTTTCCTGTTAGCCATCCTATCATTTTAAAGCAATTTTATCTAACATTCATATACAGAAATAAGGTATTTCCTTTTCTGTGAATGTTAAGACCTACAGAATGTGCCCATTTTTACCATATAGTCTTTTATTTGCTTCATTTCTTATTCACCTTAAAATAGTAAGGAGTAGCTATTTTTAGCATCTATAATGGTTTTCCAAAATTCTGTGATTTTTCTAAATTAGCTGAATACAAGCAGAACAGGTAAAAAAAACAACCTGAAGGTTCTCTAATCATAATATTTTTCATTTTGCCTGTATTTCCTATTTCTGTAGCCTGAAATCTTATCTTCCATTAAGTAACCACTATACAACAGGCTGGAGCCAGAGTTGGTCATGCTTAGGATTAGCACATTTTGCTTAATGGAAGAAGTTATTTATGACCAGTCTGGGTCAAATCACAGAATTTGGAACTAACTTTATTAACTTGAAAATTACCTGCACATCACATTAATCACATTGTACAGGTGATTAAACTTGGATTAATCTAAGATTGAATTTATTCTACAACTTTAGAAGGTTTGATAAGTTGTCTTTTACAGAAAATAGTTTTTCATTTATATTTACCCATAACAAATAATGTAAATGGTTTGAATAAACTTGCTTGGATTTGAGTATTTGGAACAGAAAAATAAATAGATATATCATATATAGCAAAATATATTGGTAAAGCCAATTTCCCCACTTTTCATCCTGCATACTTAGTGTTTTTACCCTACATTTCTTGTTTTTCCAGGTAAATGTAGATACAAGCATTTGCAATTAGACTAACCTTTTCTTCTAGAAATGCATGGAAAATGATTTCAGTAAAATTGGCAGTGGAAAAAGATTTTTGCATTTTTATTGTACATAGCTGATTCTCATTCTATCATTTTCTTTCTCTCTTTATGTATGCATGCGCATGTGATAATTCAGTACTGGAGGCAGGCTAGGAGACTTAGTATCCATCATCCCCAGAATCCACCATGGCCTTGGGCTAGTCCTGGCTGTGTAGCTTTGAAACAAGAGAATTAGTTATTATAATTCCTAATTAGTGTTTTCATGTGGCTGTGATTTCGCTACCACATATTGTACATATACCTACTTAAATGTTCATGTGCCTTAGTTCTTCTTTTTTGTGGTATGGGTTACTGGCTGGTGGGGATTCAAAAACTGTTCTGCCTTTTGTTATGCCTAGCTTTGCATCTGCTGAGCTGTCCTTCCTTACCACTATCCCCAATCAGACTGATCACCAGCTTCCACTAGTCCTGTCCTATCTTGATGCCTTAAGCAACACAGGTGTGGCTGAGTTGGACTTAAGTGAGGGTTTTTCTGAGCCAGCTGTTTCTCAGATGCTCTTCAGGTCCCTGGGGCTGTTGAATGGCAAAGACTGATCTATAAATCCTACAGCTGCTTACAAGCAGGGAAATAGCAAAGCAAAAAGCAGCACATCAGCCAAGATAACCTTTCTTACTGCCTTACTTCATTGGAGAATAAATTAGGAGTGAACCTATGTATGAGGTAGGGTGTAGTTAGCATAAATATTTGAATGCTTTTAAACTTAGCTGAAGGCTAAAGTGGTAAATTTGTTTTTGTAATCTTCTCATAAATATTCAGCAGCTGGGTGTAACAGTCAAAGCACAGCAAATTTTACATAATGTGAATACATTGTTTTTGTTCTTGAAGGTTGGAGTGGGATGCATCACTCTGTGCCAGAATATGGAATGCTGGCCTTTCAGTTTCAGAGGCACATTTGACTTCTGCATATGTTTCTTTTAATGTTGTAGAATAACATTAGACTCTACTTTGTACATTTATTTGAACTGATTGTTTTAAAGAATCCTTAGTCTAGTCTGAGGACTTGGGGGCTAGGCAACCTAGGAGTAAAAAAATGGCCTGCTTTAGGTTTACCTGAGCATTACCTAACCTTCAAAAGCCCCTATTGTCTGGGTTCACACAACAAAAGCCACAACAAATGATGCCTGGTGCAACAGTACAACCCCATGGTTACATTAGTCCCTAGTGGGTTATCACGTTGTGTGAGCCAGGTCATTACAAACTCCAAAAGACTTTATTAGGAGTGAGGTATAGAAAGCAATACTTGGACCAAGAGGAAAATCCTGGTTGTCAAATGCAGTTAGAATGTCATATTGGATGTTTTATGGCATCACTGGCCTTATAACATTGACAGCTTCATGGAACTTGTGCTAGAATGATTTCCTTTCTCTTGGAAATATTGATGAACACTATAAAAGTAGCAGTGGATTAATAGTATGGGTTACGGGGAGGTAAAATGGAGTGTTTTGAGGGTTCTAGAGGATATGGACTTCTCAGTTTACTTTTCATATTGCTTTCAGACTTTTTTACATTAGTTAATTATACATCTTTTTGTATGGCTTGCAAAATTACATATTTTGTGTTGGAACTACATATTTTGTATGTGTTCACACAGAACTCAAAAAAAAAAAAAACAAAAACAAAAAAACCCCTGATAGTATCAAAGGTAAGATCTACAATTTCTGATAGATCTGGTGACTGAGCAGTGCCAAGGCCTGAGCATCAAGTGTACCCTGACTGGTCTCTGAGTAATGTGCATATCTGGTCTGCCCTTTTATAGTTTCTCAGTGAGTAGATATACAATGTCTATCTACCCACTGCTGAAACTTTCAGTATTTTACATGTCTCCCTTCATTTCTGTAATCAGCTTTCAGCTAAGGGGTGGAACAACACAGTTAGTGGAGGTAGGTGGGTGACTGGATTAACTTGCAGAACCTTAGGTCCTGTTCTCCAGATAGTACATACTAGTCTCATCTGCCTTTACAGCTGGATTCTTTTTTATAAGAATGCATGAGAAAGTTTTGAGACTCTACAGGGCACAATCTCAATTCCAAAATCTCTCCTAAGATAGAAGTGGGGAGAGGCTCAACCCATTCCTCATGCATGAATTAAAAGTGGCAAATTCTCATAAAGCTCTAC